ATGCGCTGTTTCTCAATAGGTACAGTATAACATGCGCTGTTTCTCAAGAAACTGCTACTTTTCATATCTTGTAAGCAGAATGGATTTCTCTAGCAGAACCCCTAAACCCATATAAATAACAATGGGCATTTTTAAATATTCATTATAATCTTACTCAAAACAGGGAGATTGCTATGAGTTTGAGGGTTACCGGCGTAACACAGCCAGACCAAGGGAGCTGGAGAGATGGCTTAACAGTTAAGAGCATTTGTTCTTGGAGAAGATCTCAGTTGAGTTCTCAGAACCCACATAGTGGCTTATAACCCTCTGTTGTCCAATTCCAAAGAATCTGACACCCTCTTCTGGCCTCCCTAGCCACCAGGCACACACATGATACGTATACATTCATTTAGGCACTCACACACATTAGTTTCTTTAAAAGCCATAAATGGGTCAGTAAAGTAAGTGGCTTAGTATACAAAGGTGCTTGTCTAATACCTGAGATTGGTCTCTGGAATCCATATGGTGGAAGGAAAGAAATGACTCCCTCAAGTTGTCCTCTGACCTCCATATGCACACCATAGTGTGGTGATGTTTTGTTTGTGCTGTAACAAAGCTTGCCTGAAGATCAGAGTGTGGGGCTAGCCACACTAGTTAGCCATAGAGGCCAGGCAGTGGTGGCTCACACCTTTAGTCCTGGTTTTTGGGAGACAGAGGCAGACAGATTGTGAGTTTAAGGCCTTCCTGGACTACACAAATTGAGTCAGTTTAAAAGAAACAGCCAAACAGTGGTGACTCGCACCTTTAATCCCAGTACTAGGGAAGTAGAGACAGAAAGTGACGGGGCTGGGCAGAACAAGGAATATACAGCAGGAGGAAATAGGAGCTCGGACATTCAGTCTGAGGGTTTTATTATTAAGACCAATTAGATTCATGATACACCATACCATGGCACATGTATGCAACCTACATGCACACACAAATTAATAATATTTTAAAACAAAAAGGTCAAGTACAGTCAGTAACAATTTCTTAAGCATCAAAAGTAGTTCTGTATGATGAAAACATTTGTGTTCTTTGAGGAACATGTTTTAGTCACTTGTGAATGTGAATTACAGATTAAGGACTAATGTCCTAAATTCTAACACAATACTAAGAAGATTCCACAAGTTGCCATGTTCTTTTTATGTAGTCCTTTCATTCTCTTGCTGCTTTCTAGGATATTTTCCCTAGAAAAATTTCACTGATACTAAACTTCAAGTTACTCCTTTTCCCTAAACCTTTGAATAGTCCTGTGGGGGTAAATCACATAGTAGATTTTAAACTTTTCCTAATAGGATTACTACTAGGTGATAGTTTATGGAGTACTGGGCTGGAGGAATGATTCAGCTATTTGAAGTATTGACTGCTTTCCCAGAGGATCTGGGTTCAATTTTCATTTTCCTCACGGTAGCTCAACACCATCTGTAATTCCACAGTGCCCTCTTTTGGCCCCTCAGATACTGAAGTATATGGCATACACTCATGCAAGCAAAAACACGTACTTGTTAAATTTTTATCTCCTTAAAAAAAAAAGATTATGGAGTATTAATATCAGTGACACTTTAAGCAGTTGTAATTTCAAAATACTTTGAAAGGTAAAGAACTACCAGTAGAAATTTTGTTGATGTTTCCTTAAAAGCTTAATAGGGGTCAAGTGGTGGTGGCACGTGCCTTTAATTCCAGCACTTGAGGCAGAGGCCTCTGTGAGTTCGAGGACAACCAGAGCTGTTACCCAGAGAAACCATATCTTGAAAAATGAAAAAAAGCTCAGCCAGTAAAGGTGCTTGTCACCAAGCCTGATGACCAACCTAAATTTGATCCCTAGGACCCACATGGTAGATGGAGCAAACCAACTCCTAAAAGTGTGTGCCAGGGTGCAGCCTCATATGCGCATGCACAAAACTTTAAAACCGGAATAAAAGATCAAGGGGCTTACACCAGTATTTTCTGTGCAGGCAATGGTGGTGGATGCCTTTAATTTCAGCACTCAGGAGGCACAGGCAGGCAGACCTGAGTTCAAGGTCAGCCAGGTTTGCAGAGGGAGTTTAAGGACAGCCAAGGCTGTTACAAATAGAAATCCTGTCTTGAAAAAAAAAAAACAAACAAGCAAACAAAATCTCTGGTCTAATGAGTTCACAGCAGCCTGAGATTGTAGCAAGATGATATCTTTGAAGCATACTAGTTGTTTGTGCTCATTATATGTTTTGACTTCTCAAAATACTTGAGACTGCATTGTGGGGCATGCCTTTAATCTTAGCACGGGAGAGACTAGGAAAGGAGAATTTGAGTTCAGGATGAATCTGGCTTCTTAATAAGACCTCATCTCAAAAAAAAATTACCTTATGTGTATGAATTTTGCCTATGTGTATGTCTACACCACTTGTGTTCCTGGTGCCCACAGACATTGGTGAGGGTGTGTATCAGATCATAAAAGACTTATAAACTGCCGTGTGGGTGATGGGAACCCAGGTCCTCTAGAAGAGCAGACTGTATTCTTAACTGCTGAGCCATCTCTTAATCCTAAGAATAAAATGCCTTTAACTTATTATAGCATCATTTAGTAACAGTTCCTCGGATGTAGCACTGAACATTATAGTATAGTAGCTTGAGTCTTGATATGTGTGGGATTTTTGTGTGCATGTGCTTTTTTGTTGTTGTTATTGTCTTTAGTTTTTGAGACAGGGTTTCTCTGTATAGCTCTTATTGTTCTGGAACTCAGTCTGTAGACCAGGCTGACTGGAAACTCACAGATATCAACTGCTCTGCCTCAAGAGTGCTGGGATTATAAAGGTGTGCACCACCACAGTCTGGCTATTTTGATTTTTAATTATATATAAGGCTGTGTTCATGCAAGTATAGAAATTTTTTATTCAAATTTTTTAGATTATCTATTTTATGTGTACTAAGTGTTCTGTCTATATATGTGCAATGTTACAAGTGTGTGCAGTGCTTGCAGAGGTAAGAAGAAAGTGTCAGACCCCTGCAACTGAAGTTAGGGATGGTTGTGAGCAACCATGTTGGTGCTGGGTACCAAACTCAGATCCTCTGCCAAAAGCAAGGAATGCTTTTAACTGAGCCTCCCTCTCTCAAGACCCTATAGTGTCCTGTAGTATATATAGTCTCCATTTCCTCATAGTTAGTAACTTGCCTTTTCCCCTTTCTTTGTCCCCTGCGTCAGCTTTGATCCCCAGACATTTTTTCTTTCATGTCATCAGTACATAAGTAATATTAATATCTATAACATCTAAGACCCTCAATAAGAGAAAACATGCAACATTTAGGTTGCATCCATCATTTTTTAAATATTATTGCATGTGGGATTTTCAGTAAGGACATGACCATTGAGTTTTACCCAGGCTTATCACTCAGTCTTATCACTCACTACTTGCTAACTTTGAATTTAGAAAGTTACTTTTGAGCCCAGCAGTGCTGGCGCACGCCTAACAACCAGGAGACAGAGGCAGGCAGATCTTTGAGTTGAGGGCCAGCCTGATCTACAAGAGCTAGTTTCAGCACAGGCTCCAAAGCTAGAGAGAAACCCTGTCTCGGGGGTGGGAGTGGGGGTGGGGTTATTTTTCTGAATCCAGCTTCCTCACTCTCTCCCCCCTGCCCTCTTTTTTTTTTGTTTTTTCAAGACAGGGTTTCTCTAACAACTCTAGCTGTCCTGGAACTTACTTTGTAGACCAGACTGGCATTGAACTCAAATGCAAGGATTAAGGGCGTACACCACCACACCTCACAGTTTTTTCTTTATAAAATCGTTATATTTCTTGCTATAATTTCATGGCTGAAAAGATAATTCTTGTGAGCTGGAGTAGTGGTTCAATGTTCAGAGAACTTGTACTGTGCTTACAGAGGACCCTTGATTCCCAGCACCCACATCAGGCAACTCACAGCCACCTGTAACTGGCTCCAGAGGGATTGGACACATGGCATCCACAGGCAGCTGCAGTCATATTGACACTCCTACACACAATATAATATAAAATAAAACCTTTTTTTAAAAGTAATTATTATAAGCCACACAGTGGTGGCATACTCTACACCTAACTTCATTGAGGCAGAGACAAGTGGATCAAGGATAAATTGGTCTACATAGTGAGTTCCAAGACAAGCAGGGATACATTGTAGCCAAGTGTGGTGAAGCCAGCCTCCACTACCTAGTGAGTTCTAGAACATAAGCTACATAGTGACTATGTGTCAAGAAAACAAAACAAGAGTAATTATTGTAAAATCTGAGGCAATATCTCCACCTTTAGTGTTCTTAATTGTTACTGCCGTTTAGGATCTTTTCCTCCTTGTTTCAGTTGGTGGGTTGCTGCAATCAAAATTTGCAAGTGGAGCTTTTCTTTCACCAAGTGCCTCCGTCCAAGAATGTCGCACTCCCAGAACTTCATCTCTAATGAATGTCCCATCCACATCCCCCTGGTCTGTCCCTCTGCCGCTGGCCACTGTGTTTACAGTGCCCAGCCCAGCTCCTGAGGTTCAGCTGAAAACAGTGGGGATACGCAGGCAACCAGGCCTAGTCCCTCTTGAAAAATCTGTTACATATGGCAAGGGGAAACTCTTGATGGACATGGCCCTATTCATGGGACGTTCATTTCGGGTTGGTTGGGGCCCCAACTGGATTCTTGCTAACAGTGGAGAACAACTACATGGCTCTCATGAACCGGAAAATCATCAGGTTGCCGATTCTATGGATTATGGATTCCTGCCCAATCCAGTAGCTGTTAAATCGTGAGTTATGTTTCTCGATGCCTTTTGGGAGTGACAGTATTGTAATTGGGGGGTTGTTCAGGAAAACAGGGTCAGCACCCTGCTTTTTTATCTTTCTATATAGATTTCTTAGCCCATGTATTCTATGCTCAGTATCATGTATGTTGCTTTGTAGTTCCTACAATTAAGTCTCTGGTATTTATCCTATAGAATGTTTATACAAAATTGAGTTTATACAAAATATGTACAATTTTCCTATGTATTTTTAACACTGTGGATTAAATGAATATGATTACTTATTTTTGAAGTTGATTTTTGGAAATTATAATCATCAGTCCTTAACCTCACAGAAAAATCAATTCTAAGTTTAATTGCTTCTAGATTATAGTATTATAATATCTTAGAGATTATTACTGTCGTAAAAAGTATCAAGGTCAGATTTGACTTCATGCTCATCTGAATTTAGAGTGTTTCAAGGCATGGAGACACATACCTGTAATCCCAGCACTCAAAGTTGTACAGAAAAGATCACAAGTTGAAGGCTATTCTGAGCTATATAGCAAGAATCTAGGAGTCTGTTTTAGAAACTCAAGTGCTAAGAGATGGCCCAGTAGAATAGCACTTCTATAGCATGCCCTGGCTTCATTCAGTCTCTACAACTTCAGTTTAAAACAGACTCTGGCCGTGTGTGGTGTAGTATATACCCATATCTAGTCATTTGGGTGATGAAGCCTGCAGAGTCAGAAATTCATGGTCTTTCTTGGCTATATAATAAGTTCAAGAGCTACATGAGATGCGTCTCATAACTTTTGAATCTTAGTTTTTGCAAACTAGGTATTGTACATGCAGCTTTTGGCCTTTGAAATTTGTAGGTCATCACAAATAAGTGACTCCCATCCACTCGTGGGCCCTGAGATGTGCTCTGTTGCATTACAGTTCATTGGTTTATCCTACATTGTATCATTTATGCATGATTTTATAAACATCAGTATTGGTCATTAGAAATTATTGGTCACTGAGTCTATACATATTTATATGTGTAAATATTTGTGTATATTCATACAATATAAGCAGTTTTTAATATATCAGTCCATCTCATTAGTCTTTTCAATATTTAAGGAGCTGAGGCTGGAAAGATGACTTAACTGGCCAGGAGTATTTTCTTGGGTCTTCTTCAGAGGACCCAAGTTTGGTTTTCAGTCCCCTCAGACCTCAGCATACACACATACTTACCTACTAATCAATCTTGAAAAATCATTTCTAAAATATAAAACTAAGCTCTGAGGGCTGTGAATGTGGCTCTGTTGGTAGAGGGGTTTGTACAGAATACACAGCATAAATCCACTGTAATGGACCGTGTCTATGTGCCTGTAATCCCGTCACTTGGGGAAGTGGAGGCAAAAAGTTGAGAGATTCAGTGTGATCCATGCTTACATGCTCCAAGATCAGCCTGGCCTACATGAAACCCTCTCTTAAAAAACAAACATTACAGTGAAATGCTTTTTACTCTGTTGGAAATCAACAAAGAAACAAAAGTTGGTTGTAGGGAAATTTCAGCTGTTTCTTCATTTTCTGACTCGCCTGTTGTTTCTTCTAGTCTGTCTGAATCCCCATTCAAAGTTCATTTGGAAAAACTCGGTTTGAGAAAAAGGAAGCTGGATGAAGATCTGCAGTTATACCAGACGCCTCTGGAGCTCAAATTAAAGCATAGCACTGTCCATGTAGACGAGCTGTGTCCCCTCGTTGTCCCCAACCCTGGGGTTTCAGTCATTCATGATTATGCAGATTGGGTTAAAGAGGCACCCAGAGATTTATCAGAAGTACAAAGTGAGTACATACTATGTCCCAGGAGCCAGGTTGACAGTAGTGTGTGTTTCTAGGAGGATGTATTTCTTCACAGGGATAAGGTGACTTCCTGCACTTATGTATTCCTGCAGCTCACCAAGGAAAAGAAGAAAGAAATTATGAATTACAGGCACTCTTATGTGCCTTTTACATATAAATACTTCCTTTGATATGTATAGCTAGTCAAATCTCTTGGATTTCTGTAATTATATTCCTTCTATTTCAAGCCAAGATATTTAACTGTGTGTCTTGCAAATCATCTTTATAGGGACAGTTTCCTCTCTAAATTTTTACTGACTTAAAATTTAAAAATAATAGTTGTGGCCTGAAAGTGAAAGGAAGCCCTTTAACTGACACATAACAGAGACATTTAGTAGCAGTGCTTGAAGTCTATGTAGGAAGTTTAGGTTTACAATTATCATTATTATTGGCATGTGCTAGCTGTGTGTACGTGTGTGTCCGAACATAACTTTGATTGTATTTGTGCTCTCATATCCCTGTTACTTAACTCTATCCCTTCTGTATCCTTCCTAGTCCTTTATTATCATGCCTGTCTGTCTTTCTGTCTGTTTCTGTTCTTCAGTGCAAGGTTGCTTTGTGTGGCCCTGTCTGTCCTGACCAGGCTATCCTCTAACTCAGAGATTTCCTCCTTCTGCCCCTGTCTCCCAAGTGCTAGTGTTAAAGGCATATACCACTAAGCATGGCTTTTCTTTTTTTTTTTTTTTAACTTCCTTTTTTCCTAAATTCCATTTACAAAAGAGAACATGGGATACCAATTTTATTTTGTTTTGTTTGGAATCTGACTTATTTTGCTTAGCATCCATTTACTTGCAGATGCCCTAGTACTTCTTTATTGCTCCATGTATTTAGACCACACTTTTTCTGTCCATTACCTCGGTTGGTAGAAATCAGGACTGATTCCCTAGCTTGGCTGTTGGAAATAATGGTGCAGTCACAGTGGGTATTCAGGTATCTCTTAGGAGCTGACTTTTGTTCTTTGGGGTAAGAAGTCATATGGCTAAATCACCCTGTAGTTACATTTTAGTTTTTTCATCAGTCTTCATACTGGCTGCCATAGTGACTAGGCTAATTTACATTTCTAACAACATATAAAAGTTCCTTTTTTCTACATGCTGTATCAATCAGTATTTGTCATTTTTTTAATGGTTTGGTTTTCATTTTTCTTTGTTAATTTTAATCATTCCAACTGGGTGAGGTGGAATCTCAAGGGAATTTGGATTTGCATTTCACTAGTGGCTAAAGGTTTGTACTTCATTTGAAAAGTGTTGGCTCATTTGTTTAACCATTTATTGATTGTTTGGCATTTCTTTTTAAAACTTTTTTTAGTATCTTTATTCTGTACTAATCCCATTAGACAAACAACTGGAAAATACCTCCTCCCATTTCATAATTTGTCTTTTGACGGTTGACTCTTGTGCCTTGCGGAAGCTCTTTGCTGAGTACATTTTGTCAGCACTTGCTGCTTATTAGGTCTTCTTCAGAAAGTCACTGCATAGTCCTGTACAGTATAAATGTCTCAAGTCTTTGATCCATTTTGAGTTCATCATTTTCAAAGTGGGGAATAGGAATCTATCCTAGGTCTGCTACATTTGAATGTTCAATTTTATTAACACCTCTTATTAAACGGCTGTCTTTTCTCTGGTGTTTGGCACCTTTATTAAGACTCATGGCAGGCTCAACATTACAAAGAGAGAGAGTGTGTGTGTGCTTGTATAGATGTGTACTACTCAAATGTGTGGAGGTCAGCTTGCAGGACAGTAGCCCTATCAGTGGTTCTGTTTCCACCAAAAGTCTCTGGGTCTTAGAATACAGAAAGAAAACCAGCTCAAACTGTCGGCTGCTGCTGTTGTGGGGAGGTGGGGTGCAGATGGTGAATAATCCCCAACACCTACGTGGAGGCTCACGACCATCTTTATCTCCAGTTCCAAGGGTACTGATGCCCTCTTTGGCTTCTGTGGCCACCAGACGCACATGGTGCACAGACACACATACGTACAAAACACTCGTACACATAATTTTTTTTAAAGCATTTTGTAGTAGAATTTCACTATGGAGAATGATTTCTTGCCTGTCACAGTTAATAATCATAACTAGGCTAGAGGAATTTGTTTAAGGATCATCAGATTATGTCGTTAGGTAAGTATCACAAGTACATAGAGTGAACAAGCATACCCTCTACCTATGCAATAAGTCTATGCAATAAGTGAATCGGTTGGGAGTTGAGTGAGTGTTTGTGGTGGTAATTGATGTGTTTTGCACCACAATTAGTGATAGGCTCTCAGGAGTAATTACCAAACTTCCATAGCATTACTTTTTGTGCTTTCTTAGTTCTGAAGCACTGGAGCCTGACGTGGACATTATGTGAAGCCCTCTGGGGCCACCTGAAGGAGCTTGACAGTCAGCTGGATGAACCCACTGAATACTTTCAGGTTCTGGAGCGAAGAAGAGCTTTTTCCCGCTGGCTATCGCGTACTGCTGCACCCGTGATTGAAGAGGAAGTTTCCTTAACACGAAGGGACAGTCCCATAGAAGCTGTCTTCAGCTACCTCACAGGCAGTAGGATTAGTGAGGCCTGTTCTCTGGCACAGCAGTCGGGTAGGAATGAGATCCTCTGCATCACTACCTTCTTCCTGTGCACTGTCCCTGCCCCTTACTTGTAATTTGCCTTTTATCTGTATCCCAGGAAGATGGTTGCTTCCTCTAGAAACCATGTCTTGTTCTTCTCAACAACTCTGGAAACTTAAATATTGTTTATTAAAATTTTATTGATTTTTGTTATATGCATTTGTAGTAAAATCAGAAACTGTAGATAAGTAGGAAACAATAAGCAAAATCACCCAAATTCTAAAACATTTTTAGTGTGTGATCTTTACTTAGATGGTTATTCTTGAAATCATAAAGTATACATAAATGCATGCACACAGAACAACATACACATGTAAACAGGTCACACTTGGTGTCCCAGTTATCCTCATTAATAGAGTGGTGAGTGTCTCTATTACCACAAAGATAATTTCCTAATGTATATTCTGTTCTTTTCATATAAAATATTATAGATAGCAATAGTCAAATTCTTCTTGGCAGTCTTTTAATATAGCATTGGCATATTCCTTTGGGTTTTTTCTTTTTCTTTTTTTTTCCCTCCAGTCTTTCAAGACAGAATATCACTATTGCTTTGGAGCCTGTCCTGAAACTCTCTATAGACCAGGCTGGCCTCAAATTCACAGAGATCCTCATGACTCTATATCCCAAGAGCTGGGATTAAAGGCGTGCGCTACTACCACCCGGCTTGACATTTATTTGTGTGTGTGTATAGGTGTACAATGAACACCTGTGCGCACATACAGAGGCCAGAAGAGGCTGATGGGTGTCTTCTACTCCTTTGAGCAGGATCTTTGGATTTTTGAGGAGCCCACCACCTAGCTCTCAAGTAAATCACACACAGATGTTTATTCTTAGTTATGAATTCCCAGATTTATCTTGGCTTGTTGCTAGCCAGCTTTTCTTAAATTATTCAGACCACTTTTGCCTCTGGGCTTTTTCCTTTTCTTGCTTCTGTATATCTTACTTTTTTTGTTTGTTTTTTTTTTTTTTTTTTTTTTTTTTTGTTTTTTTGGGGGGGAAGGGTTTCAAGACAGGATTTCTCTGTTGTTTTGGAGCCTGTCCTGGAACTAGCTCTTGTAGACCAGGTTGTCCTCAAACTCAAAAAGATCCGCCTGCCTCTGCTTCCCGAGTGCTGGGATTAAAGGCGTGAGCCACCAGTGCCGGGCTTTGTTTTGTTTTTCAAAACAAGACAGGGTTTTGCTATAGCTTCGGAACCTGTCCTGGAACTAGATCTTGTAGACCAGGTTGGCCTCGAACTCACAGAGATCCTCCTCTCTCTGCCTCCCAAGTGCTAGGATTGATGGTGTGTGCCATCACCACCCAGCTGTTTTTTGTTTTTCAAGGCAGAGTTTCTCTATATACAGCCCTGGCTGTCCTGAAATTCAACTTGTAGACCAGGCTGATCTTGAACTCAGAGGAGTCACAGAAGGAGTAGAAAATTTGTTATTATCACTACATATTTGTATACGTCTTTAAAGTACTTTAAAATATTGTATTCAGTCGGAAAGTGTGTATACTTTAGCGCTGATGAGGAGCGATGGTGTTAGCCTACATGTGTCATCAGGTAGTTTAACCCTTGTCCTCACCAGGAAACTCTTGTTTCTGTTACAGGTGATCATCGCCTTGCTCTTCTTTTGTCTCAGTTGGTGGGTAGCCAGTCAGTCCGAGAGTTGCTCACCATGCAGTTAGCCGACTGGCATCAACTCCAGGCTGACAGCTTCATCCAGGATGAGAGATTGCGCATATTTGCCCTGTTAGCTGGAAAACCGGTAATGTCATATTAATTTTTATTTATTGTAAATTGTACACTGTTACTATAGCTGCCAGTTTGGTCTTATTTCTAGGTAGAAATATTTTCAAATTAAAATGTCAGGCAGCCAGGTACAATGGCTCATACCTGTAGTCCTGGTGCTTGGGAGGCAGAGGAAGGTGATCCCCTTTGAGATCTAGTCCAGGTTCAAATCAAACCTGGTCTAGACAAGTCCAGTATAGCTGAAAGAGATCCTGTTTCAAAACACCACATCAGGCTGGGCAGTAGTGGCACAGACCTTTAATTCCAGCACTCGGGGAAGCAGAAGAAGGTGAATTGCTGTGAGTTCAAGGCCATTCTGGTCCACAGAGCATGTTTCAGGACAGCCAGGGCTGCACAGAGAAACCTCGTCTTGAAAAACAAACAAAAAGGGGCTGGAGAGATGGCTCAGCGGTTAAGGGCTTTGCCTGCTCTTCCAAAGGTCCTGAGTTCAATTCCCGGCAACCACATGGTGGCTCACACCATCTGTAATTAGGTCTGGTGCCATCTTCTGACCTGAAGGCATACATGCAGACAGAATATTGTATACATAATAAATAAATTAAAAAAAAAAAGAAAAACAAAACAAAAAAAGTGGAACCCACTTGGTGGAAGGAGAGACTCTTACAGACTCTGTCCACACACACACACCATGCCATGTATATTGTCCACATATGATAATAAATGAATACAAAAATGTATAGTTGATGTCTGTATTGTATATCATAGTAGTGTGTGTATAGTAAGCTGTATAATCCTCTGTCTTCTTAGACATTAGCATTTTTACATCTGTATTGATGTATAGGTTCATATTTGTATGTGTGTTTATACAGGCAAGGTCAGTTTTGGAGAATGATTTTGAAAGTTTTTCTTTAATTTTCCGTATATGAACATTTTCCATGTAATAGTGTCATTCTTTTTCGTCACCACTCTTCATTTTACCAAAAGTGGAGTGATTATTTTAAGACCGTTTTTGTTGCTTATTCTTTGTCTGATTCTCTGTCTTTATAGGTGTCTTATCAATTATGGCAAGAAAATAGGAGGCGAGATTACATTAAGACTGGTGGTGGTGCAGTCCTTTAACCCTAGCACCTGGGAGGCAGAGGCAGGAGGATCTCTTAGTTCAATGCTAGTCTAGTCTACATAGTGAGGCCCTGTCTCAGAAACAAACAAACCATAAGAGCAGATGGTAGACAGGCAGTAAATAACCAGGGCGACATAAAGTTGTCACGTGTGATCCTTTGTGTCCTGCAGGTGTGGCAGCTCTCTGAGCAGAAACAAATCAACGTATGCTCCCACCTGGATTGGAAGCGTGCGCTTGCTGTTCATCTCTGGTATTTGCTTCCGCCAACAGCCTCCATTTCCAAGGCTCTCAGCATGTATGAAGAAGCATTTCAGGTATGTGTGTTCAGAAGAGCCAGGTAAGAACTGTGATGACGATTTAGTCTTTCCAGAGAAGTCCTGCAAGCCAGGCATGGTAGACACACCTTTAATCCCAGCTCTTGGGAGGCAGAAACAGGTGACCATCTAAGGCTATGTGGTGAGACTCTGTCTCAAAAAAGAAAAGAAAATTTAAAAGGTGTACAAAGAAAAAGCCATCAAATCACTTTATTCTCTTCTTTTTGGTTTGGTTTGGTTTGGTTTGTTTGGTTTGGTTTCTTGTTTTGTTTTGGGTTTTTTTTTTTGTTTTTTGTTTTTTTTTTTTTTCCTCAAAACAGGGTTTCTCTGTGTAATAGCTGTAATTATCCTGAAACTAGTTCTTGTAGACCAGACTGGCCTTGAACTCGTAGAGATCCGCCCGCCACTGCCACCTGGCTTCAAATCACATTTTATAATACAATACTTACTATTGACTGCCCTCTTTGAAAACACTGTTAATTTGAAAGACCCAGCAAATTCAAAACTTCATCCTTTACCTTGCCTCTTCAACTTCTCTGTTTGCTTTTCTTCTATTTAAAATAGGTAATTAGTTTTCTTACTATTTTTTTTTTTTCTGCCTCTAAGACCATCCTACTCCTTTGGGAATTGCTTAAGCTTGACCTCAGGTTTAGTTTGCCCCTTATTAGCATGTAAGCTAAAATTTCTCATCATTTTTTATATCTCTTTTCATTGTTGAGTTAAAGAGCTGTCTATTAAGCCAGGTGCTGGTGGTCTATTATGCCAACCTGGTCTACAGAACAAGTTCCAGGACAGCCAGGGTCACACAGAGAAGCCCTGTCTCCTGTCTCAAGAGCAGCACTGTTCCTTACTGAGTTATTTGTTCTGTTGTTTTAATGTTTTATTTTTTCATGAGTTATTTGTTTTAAGACAAGGTTTCATATAGCTCAAGCTTAGTCTGACTTTCAATTTATGATCCTCCTAGAGTACCATGATCCCTTGAATCCTTTCTTACTTATTCATATTTTATATTTGCTTTTCCTAGAATTTATCTAGGTAAAGATTGCACTTAAATTGTAATAGCTAGGTATAATGCCCGCACCTCAGTCTCAGCACTCAGAAGGCTGAGGCTGGATGGTTGCCCAGAACTCGAGGCTAGTCTGGGATATAGAATGGGGAGAGGGGCGTGAACACTTACATACTCAGTCAGAATTGTGACTCATTGCAGCCAGGTGTGCTAGCCTTCAATCCCAGCACTTAGGAGGGAGAGGCAGGCAGATCTCTAAATTCCAGGACACTTAGGGCTACATAGAACAACTGTTCTCAACTTGTGGGTCAAAACATCTTTGGGGTTTTACAGGGGTCGCCTAAGACCATCAGAAAACACAGATCTTTAACAATATGATTCATAACAATGGCAAAGTTACAAAGTAGTAGCAAAAATAATTTTATGGTTGGGTCACCACAACATGAGGAACTGGAGTTAAAGTGTCACAGCATTATGAGTGTTGAGAACTGCTGGCATAAACAAAAGAATTGTGACAAGTGAAAAGGGGCAGGACTCCAGGGAGCTGTTTGAAGTCCTTTCCAGACTGAAAACAGGTAGATCAAAAAGCTGTAAAATCCTTGATTCTTTTAAGTGTCACAGCATCCTTAATTCAGGTGTCTGAATAATTGAGACATGATGATAGTAATTGATGAAACTCACAACCTTTGTTGTATTGCTTTAACAAATTCTTCCTTTTCAGAATACTTCTGAGGGTGATAAATATGCCTGCTCCCCTCTTCCTTCATACCTGGAGGGGTTTGGTTGTATGGTAGAGGAAGAAAAAGACACACGGAGACCACTTCAGGATGTTTGCTTCCACCTTCTGAAACTCTATAGTGACAGGTAAACCAGGGCCAGGCATGGCCATTGCTTCAGTCCATTTAGTTGAGATAGAGTTTCCATATAACTCAGTAAGCAGTTGGAAAGACGTGACCACCGAATACAACTGAAACATTCCCATCACCTACAGAAACTCCCTCATCTGTTTTAGGAATAATCCTCAGTCCTGAACAGTGATTGGGGAGGGGCTTGGTGTTTCGGGAACTTACATATTTGAACTCGTTCTGTATTCTTTTGTCTCTGGCTTATCACTTGGTGTGGTGGTGAGATTTATCCATGTTAATATGAATATCAGGGGTTTTAGGGAATAGTTATTTTGAATTTGTAGAATTTTGCGTAATTTCATGTAGATTAGCTGGTGAGTTAGATATTGTTGGTTTGGCTTTGAGGAAAAAAGCTGCACAAATATTTATTCACAGTAGTAGCTGTGAGGAGCTGGAGAGATGGCTCAGAGGTTAAGAGCACTGACTGCTCTTCCAGAGGTCCTGAGTTCAATTCCCAACAACCACATTGTGGCTCACAACCATCTGTAATGAGATCTGGTGCCCTCTTCTGGCATGCAGGCATACATGGAAAAAATGTTGTATACATAATAAATAAATAAATTTAAAATAAATAAATAAAATTCTTTTAAAAAGTAGCTGTGATTAGCTGGTCTTTGGCACAAGCAGCTAAGGAGATTGAGGTATATGAGAGGTTCACTGGAGTCCATCAGTTACAGTCTGCCAAGCAACATAGCAAGACCCATCTAAATGAAAGGGGCTGTTATTTTACATTCTCACTAGTAATATATAAAATCTCTACATTGTTATGTGTCTTCTTTAGAGTTTATTATTGTATGTAGTGGTATTCTCTGTGTGGTATACATATTTTTATTTATGTCTTTTTTTGGTAGTTTGAGACTGGGTCTCTAAAGAGGCTGGCCGAGAACTCACTCTGTATAGTGAACATTCAAATTTCTTCTGCCTTAGTCTTCTATGAGTTAGAATGACAGTAATGTACTTTCATGAAGTGGTGTTTTTTTCATATATAATAATAATTTTGTTCATTTTTTCCCATGACCTCCAAGTTCCACATATGAACTACAAATAAATCTTTTTTATTTTATTATTAAAATAATAATTAATATTATTTAATAATATTAATTATTAATAATTAATATTATTTAATTATTTTATAATTATTTATTATTATTATTTTATTATTAAAGATTTTCTTGATAAAATCTATCAAGAAAATAAATTTCAGGGCTAGAGAGATGGCTCAGTGGTTAAGAGCATTGCCTGCTCTTCCAAAGATCCTGAGTTCAATTCTGAGTTCAATTCCAGCAACCATATGGTGGCTCACAACATCTGTAATGAGATCTGGTGCCCTCTCTGGTCTGCAGGCACACATGTAGGCAGATATTGTATGCATAATAAATGAATAAATATTTTAAAAAAAAAGAAAATAAATTTCAGGGCTGTAGAGATGGCTCAGAGGTTAAGAGCACTGACTGCTCTTCTAAAGATCCTGAGTTCAATTCCCAGACACCACATGGTGGCTCACAACCATTTGTAATGAGATCTGGTGCCCTCTTCTGGCATGCAGGCATACATGCAGGCAGAACACTATATATACAAAATATTTAAAATTCATAATAATCAATTTCCATGAAATGTTCTTCATAAGAAATAGAGAATGGCTGATCTAGCACTAATAAATTAGCCATACAATTATTATATCTAAATAAAAATATTTTGATACTTTTTATTTTCTGTTAGAAATAACTCGGATTTCTGGTTTTGTTTTCTTTTTGTTCACAGTAGGTCACAGCTTATTTCTACTTTTTAGGATGCTTTCTTTAAACACAGAGTATTATTTATAAAATAGGACTGTAATACATATGTAAATAAAATTTACCATTCATCTATTTTTCGCTCTCATCTATTCAAATCTTTTGACTTTTGGTTTTTTGATGGTTGAATGTTTCATTTGTTTTTGAGAGTCTCTCTATGTAGACCAGGCTGGCCTTGAACTTACAAAGATCTTCCCACCTCTGCCTCTGCCTCAGCCTCATGAGTGCATGGGACTACAAGGTACTCCACCGTGCTTGGCTAAATTTAATTATTGTATTTGATGTGTCTGACTGCTTTTGGCTGTGTATATAAGTGTATCACTCAGTGTCTAGTACCCTTAAAGGTCAGAAGAAGGTGTCAGATTACCTAGAACTAGAGTTATGGGTTGTTTTTACTATTCATATGCAGTCTGTGCATATGTGAGTTAGAGGACACCTAACTCCATTCTGTCTGTCCACTGTGTGGGTCCTGGGGTTGAGCCTCAGGTAGGCAGTCTTGGAAGCAAGTGAAAGTCGTTTTTGTTTTGAGTTTTGTTTTTGTTTTGGGTTTTGTTTTCCTCTTTCCCAAAACAGGTTTTCTCTGTGTAGCTTTGGAGCCTTTCCTGGAACTCGCTCCGTTGAACAGGCTGGCCTCGAACTCACGGGGATCCACCTGCCTCTGCCTTCCAAATGCTGGGATTAAAGGCGTGCACTGCTACTACCCAGCCCAATTTGCTAAAAGTTTTAATGCTATATAATTTCTTATTATTATAGAACTTTTGATATTTTCTATTTATCTACAAGTCAGGTTGCAATCATTTATGTGCCAGAGTAAAAAACTCTAGAGAGGAGTTTTTCCTGACGTAATTTTTTTTGTTTGTTTTTGTTTTTTGGGGGGGGGGTTATTTTGTAGTTTTGGAGCCTGTTCTGGACTAGCTCTTGTAGACCAGGCTGGCCTCAAACTCACAGAGATCCGCCTGCTTTTGACTCACAAGTGCTGGGTTTAAAGGTGTGTGCCACCATAGCCTGGCAATTTCAGTCATTTTAATACAAAAGTATTAAGTGATGGTTCTACTCTTGAAGTAAAATATTTACATCAAGTTTGAGCATTAGGATGCACCTTAGTCCTGGCACTCAGGAGGCATCGGCAGGTGGATCTCTGCAGCTAGCCTGGTCTACATAGCAAGTTCCAGGATTAACAGGGCTTTCTCAAAAAATAGAAGAGAAAGTTGTTCAAATCTTTTTCTCACCCTTTTAAAAATATTTGTAGAATCTATAATAATCACAAATTCTTGTTACTGGTAATTTTTGTATTCGTTCTTTCTTCTCTATGTAGTTACGATTTAATTGATCTTCTAAAGAACCATTGTTGATTTTGTTGATTTTACCGTTATCCTTCTCAGAATGAAAGAGAAAAGTTTTAATGGATAAGTACATAAGAGTAAAACCATCACTTAATACTTTTGTACTAAAATGACTGAAATTGCCAGGCTATGGTGACACACACCTTTAATCCAAGCACTTGTGAGGCAGAAGCAGGCGGATCTCTGAAGTTTGAGGCAAGCCTGGTCTGTAGAATGTGACCTTGTTTCTCATACACACAACAGTGAACATTATAACCCACGGGAAGAAATGGCCTCCATGAAGACAAGTTAACTGGCAACTGAGATGTCAGTGAATAAAACAGTCTGAAAGGTCCTTAGTTTTTAGCATGCCTAAGAAAAGTAGCAGATGCTATAATAAAGAATGGGGAGAACAAAAATTGTGAATGTCCATGTTAGAATGCCACTACCAAACCTGTTAGATGGCACACCCTCGTGAGAGGTGATGTCTTCTGAGACACAGAGCAGTGGACCTGTTCAGTACAGATGATCTGCTAGCTGAGTACCCTAACTGAATACTTTTTCTCCTCAGACATTACGATCTCAATCAGCTGTTGGAACCTCGAAGCATAACTGCAGATCCTTTGGACTACCGCCTCAGCTGGCACCTTTGGGAAGTGCTGCGGGCTCTCAACTATACCCATCTCTCTGAACAGTGTGAGGGTGTGCTACAGGCCAGTTATGCTGGCCAGCTGGAAAGCGAAGGGCTCTGGGAATGGGCCATCTTTGTTTTCCTGCACATTGAGAACTCAGGGTGAGTGAAAAGCCTTTGAACCCTGTGGAGAAATGCTATTTTGAAGTGTATTGCATCTTTTCATACTGCTTTGTTAACAATTCAAAGATTGGTTTGAATATCTAAAATTAGCCTGTCAGCAAGAGGCTGAGTGAACAAGTAGCTGGCAGGAAGTAAGGAGGAGCTGCCTGTAGCAGGTGTTTTTAAATGGAGAGTGCACTGGGTTGTCTGGAAGACACTGGCAAAGGGAACAGTGGCCCCTTGCGGCTTCAGCTGTTGCTTAAGGGGCAGCTGCTATAGACAAAAAAAAACATAACAACAGAACCCAGTGAGTATATCTAGCACCTGAACACAGTACCTAATGAGTCAGTCCTTTTAGGCTCTGATAAACAAGTTATTACGTAGAGCATCTTTTGAGATGTAAAACCCGAGATGACTCAGCATTTAAGATCATTTACTCCTTTTCCTTAGGGTCTGAGTTCAGCGCTCACACTACCTGTAGTAACCCTAGCTCTGGAGGATCCAGCAACGCTGACATCCAAGGGCACTTACATTAATATGCACCAACACACACGTGTACACATATGAAACAATAAAAATAAATATTTTAAGAAAAGTCAGAATTTAAAATATCGACTTTATGATTTGTTTTGCTTTTTAAGTTTGAAGTGGTTTCCTAGAGATAGAGATTGTCCATGTGAATGATTAGCCTTCTCCATGACCTAGATGATACTCCATCTTCCTTCTTCCCTGTAGCATGCGTGAGAAGGCTGTCCGCGAGCTGCTGACTCGGCACTGCCAGCTGACAGAGACCCCTGAGTCCTGGGCTAAAGAGACTTTCCTTACACAAAAGCTCTGTGTGCCTGCTGAGTGGATTCATGAGGCCAAAGCAGTTCGAGCACACATGGAATCCAATAAGCACTTGGAGGCCCTCTATTTATTTAAGGCCGGCCACTGGAACCGCTGCCACCAACTTGTCATTCGCCATCTCGCTTCTGGTGAGTGCAAAGGCCTACATCTCCTGGAGTTAACCTGCACTTCTCTATCCTGTGCGCTCTTGGGATGGCTGAGTCAGAGGTGCTTTAGGACACGGCAAGCTTAGATCAATATTTCACCAAACGCACAGAGGCGACTTGATCTGCATGAGAGGCTATGGGGCTAGGAAAGATGGCACTGTTGTGGTTACCATCTGCCACAGACGTCCCTGCTGTGCACTACATTCTTGCTCATGAGTGGGGATGTTAACCAGGAACACCAGAAACAGCTGCTTCGAGAACTGAAGCCAGAAGGTCCACAGGGGTACCATTATCGCCCACCACAACATCTGCTTAGGAATTCTCAACAACAGGATTTATTCTCCTTCCTGTCTGCCTTAGATTTATTCCTGATCCTCTGTACTGTTGTGAACCACGCCCTTATACACTGAAGCCATTGTTTTCTTTCTTCAGATGCTATTATTAATGAGAACTATGGCTACCTGAAAGGGTTCTTAGAAGATCTGGCACCTCCAGAGCTAAGCAGCCTAATTCAGGACTGGGAAACATCTGGACTTGTTTACCTGGATTATATTCGAGTAATCGAAATGCTCCACCGTATTCAGCAGGTACCTAAATTCCTTAAACTACTGTCTAGTTTTTCTTTTCATAGGCACCTAAAATAAAAAAGATTTCAAAAAGCCATACTAGCCAGGCGGTGGTGGCGCACACCTTTAATCCCAGAACTCTCTGAGTTCGAGGCCAGCCTAGTCTACAAAGTGAGTTCCAGGAAAGGCTCCAAAACTAGAGAGAAACCCTGTCTCAAAAAAATAATAAATAAAAACCCAACCACAACAACAAAAAAACCAAAAACAAAACAAAAAAAACAAACAAAACATAAAAACCCCAAAAAGCCATACTGTAGAGGGTTGTGGTGGTACATGACTTTATCCCTAGCACTTCGGAGGCAAAGGCAGGTGGATCTCTTAATTCCAAGACAACCAGGAAACTTCTCAAAAAAAATAAAAAATAAAAACCACAGAAGCCATAATGTACAATACAAAGGAAAACATGGTGACACACACATGCAGTCCCAGCATTGAGAAATGCGGCAACAGAATCAGAAGTATGAAGCCAGTCTAGGCTGTGTGAAACTTTATATCAAAAAATTAAATTCATTGGTAAATGTAATTAATGTGTTGAAGATGGGATTTTGGCGTTTTGTTTGTTTTAACTAGTCTTAAACCTATAACCTAGACCAGCCAGGAACTCACTGTGTAGCCCAAGATAGCCCTTTTGGGGTATATTTTTAGTATACTTATAGAGGAGAGTGAGTGTGATGCATACCCTAGCACAGGCCTGGAAATCCAAGGACAAGTTGTGGAAGTGGAAAGCAAACTCAGGTCATTGGACTTGGCAGCAAACATCTTTAGCTGCTGTGCCATCTCGCTGGCTGCTCTGCTTCTCTTTCCTCTGGAAAGTGTGAGCTGTCCTCTCCCTTGCTACCAAAACTTGCGGGACATTTTCTTGTACCTGCCAGATCATCCTGTATGATCTGGTTACAAGGAGTACAAGTTAGAGTGGGCAGTGGATAGATTGTAGAGTGTATCCAACAGAGTTTTCATGAAGGTCACACAAAATAGGCACAGGGCTTTGATGCAGTAAATTACACACAACACACAAAAACCTTGCTCCGGCTCCTATCATCCACTTGTAACTCTAGTAGTGAGTGAAGCATATGATGGGCATAATTCAGGAATCACTGAAGAAACTCTGTAGTTGAAATCAGTTCACTTATTCAACTTGTTCATTAAAGAATCCCCAATATGCCGGGTAGTGGTGGTGCACGCCTTTAATCCCAGCACTCGAGAGGCAGAGGCAAGCGGATCTCTGAGTTCGAGGTCAGCCCGGTCTACAAGAGCTAGTTCCAGGGCAGGCAACAAAGCGACACAGAGAAACCTTGTCTCGAAAAACAGAAATAAAATGAACCCCCAGTGTGGTGAGTTCTGTGATGGATTTGGGAGCTGTAGAGGTAAACAGTGTGTTTTTCAGTACTAAAAGTACTGATTCATTGGGGGAAGATGTATGTAAGTAAGCCAGAAATCACCATAGAATAAAGGAAAAGATTGACCACGGATTGTTTTGTTCTGACAATATGCCAGGACAAAAAAAAGAACATGATCTAATCTGAAGGAGTCAGAGTTACAGTGTAGCTGTGTCCACATTCATAACTTAGTGAAACACGCGCCTTACTTGTCTCTGATTTGGGGCTCAGTTAAGAGCACTTGCTGCACTTGCAGAGGTTCAGGTCCTAGAACCCACGTGATATAGCACACAGCCGTTATTAACTCTGGTTAATCCAGGAGATCCAGTGCTCTCTTCTACCTGCATAAATGCAGACAGAACACTCATGCACAAAATAAATCCTTAAACCTTCCCAGCTTTGTCTTGCTGTATTGCTCTTTACTTCTTGTATTACATGTAAACACTCCAGTTCACAGGGTTTGGCTGTTTGCTTCACCTTGAAAGCTTGACCTTCTCTTGTCAGGCAGGTCTTAGCTTACATATGACCTCTCCAAGGACACTTCTGATACTCCCTCTTGAAATAGGACATTCAAATTTTGGGGGAAGGGGAGTGGTTTTGAGACATGATTTCTCTGTGTCGGTTTTTTTTTTTTAAAGATTTATTTGTGTATACAATGTTCTGTCTGCATGTATGCATACAGGCCAGAAGAGGGCACCAGATCTCATTACAGATGGTTGTGAGCCACTATGTGGTTGCTGGGAATTGAACACAGGACCTCTGAAAGAAGAGTCCATGCTGTTAATCGCTGAGCTATCTCTTCAGCCCCTCTGTGTAGTTTTGGAGCCTATCCTGGAACTCACTTTGTAGACCAGACTGGTCTCAAACTCACAGAGATCCACCTGCCTCTGCCTCCTGAGTGCTGGGATTAAAGATGTGGGTCACTACTGCCCAACAATGACATCCATTTCTTTATACTCACAGCTCATCACAGCTGTGATTCTATAAGGTAAATTACTACTTGATATTTTCTTGTCTGTAAAGTTTATGAACACAAAGACCTCATTTTGTTTACTGCTATTAAAAGTCGGTAGTAGGCTCTGGCAGAGGGTAAGAGTGTATATATAGACATAAATCATTGAGTTCTGCAAGCCCTCCTCAAAGTGAGTTCCAGAGCTTGTAAGATGGCTCAGCAGATAAAAGAACTTGTAGCCACACTTGACAACCTGAGTTCAGAGCCCAAAGTGGCCCTGGTGAAAGGAGAGAATGGGCTCCCACAAGTTGACTTTTGACCACCACCATCCTCGCATGACTAGCTTTAATAAACACCGAACAAGTAGTAAATTCCATGAAAAATGCATCTTGAAAAACATCTCGAGTAAACCTGAGGAGGGAGGTGGTTGAAGACTCTGGATGGTTCACAGTGAGGAAGATAGGGTAACTGAGAGAGTCAAGGTTAAGGCAAATGAGGTGTTGCTACAAAATATTCAAGACTTGAATGGATAAAAGTAAATCAGTTTTATTTTTTGAAAATGTATCTGAACCAGGTACATTGGCAAGACTGAAACAAGGGATAATGGAAAGTTTGAGAGTAAGTAACCTGGGATATGCAGTGAGTTCCAGGCCAGCTGGGACTACATATCAAGACTCTATCTCTAAAACCAATGGCTATAAAGTGATCACAAATTGGAAGTAGAGGGTGACACTAATAGCTGTGGTGAGAAGGGTGTGCTACAGCAAAAGCCGTGGCACAGAACCAGAGGATTGGTATATTGGGCTAGCATTGAGTATAATTGGAACCATAGGTATGGATCAGGAGAGTGTACAGACTGAGGAGGTTCTGTACTGCTTTAGGAATGTCTGAGTTTAGAATAAGGAGATGGAAAGTCAATGCTGGTTTGAATAGTGCCTCTTACTACCTCTCTGAACCAGATTTACCCTACCTAAAGTTTTTGGTGCTGTGTTAAACTGTGTGGCTTGTGAGTCATCATCTAAAGACCTCTTTAGATACTTTCTCTTCTTCAGCACTAAATGCAGGGGCATTGCCATCAGCTTCTCAGTTTTTCTTCTCCTATCATTGTTGCTGGGATTTTGTGTAATCTGTGGCTGGGGTTGAGGTAGAAGTTTCTTTTGTCCTTACTGGTCTGCTCCCCTGCAGGTGGATTGCTCAGGCTATGAACTAGAGCACTTACACACCAAAGTCACTTCACTGTGCAGCCGGATAGAGCAGATTCCATGTTACAGTGCCAAGGACCGCCTGGCTCAGTCAGGTAAGCTGTGGGCCTTGCTTTCATGTGACTTACTTCCTGTTTTTATGACAGCCTCACCAGTGCTGTGTGGTCAGCACTCATTGTGATTTTTCTCTCTAGATATGGCCAAGCGTGTTGCCAACTTGCTGCGGGTAGTACTGAGCCTGCAGCATGCTCCTGATGCCACCTCCAACTCGACACCAGACCCTCAGCGAGTTCCTTTGCGTCTGTTGGCTCCCCACATTGGCAGACTCCCCATGCCTGAGGACTATGCCTTAGAGGAACTTCGTGGTCTCACACAGTCCTACCTGCGAGAACTGACTGTTGGGAGCCAGTGAGCCCAGCTCTTCATCACACTCGTGCACTCACTCCCTCCCCAGCGGTTCCCAGCACTGTTCTAGCTGACATTGTTTGCCAATCTCTGGGTAGGTGTGGAATCCTCCCTCCCTTTCTGCTGCCCTAAGCAGCATCCTCTAGTTGTTCAGGGGTTCTCCTAACTAATACTGAACATAGCATACAAGGGCTTTTGGAACAACAACAACAAAAAAGGACAGGTTACTATTTACCAACTTCAAGACCATACTTCAATTTCTTTTTCTTTTGAAAAATGGTCAATAAAGCCTCTTTGGCAGAACCTCCCAAAAGATCTGGGTTACCCAGAGTTCTGAGTCTTGTGACACACACACCCCATGCCAACGTCTGTCCTACATCGCTGCAGCTCTTGTGTTTGAAGGCTCTAAGACAGGTGACAGACAGATGTCTGGTAGATGACTCATTTGTCCTTGAAGATTTCTTAACATTGGGCTTGGGACCTTGTTGAAGATAGAAGGGCTGTCTGCCATGGAAGCAGAGCTCTGCAGGGCTGCTTTTTTCATTCCTTGCCTGTCCTGTGGACACCACACCTGCCCTACTGTCCTGTGCAGTGTGTCTCTGCGAAGCCCCTGATTGCGTTGACCCTTGATTTATCAGTCATCTTCCTGGGTGGGCCAGGAGTTTGGATGAAGAATGTGAAAGGTGTTCCAGCCCTGCCATCTAGCTAAGAGCATTTCCCACCCTTCATCCACCCTCCCAGAAGGCACAGCTGTCACTAAGACAGGCCTGGCTGGGCCCTAGGCACCATCACCTCATTGCTGCTGGCTGTGGAGAGTCCCAGGCTCTGGCCTGAGACAGCTGAAACTTGGGGCTGTCACACACAATATGACCACCCCTGGGTCTTTGTGCATGAAGATTATGTAAAGGTTTTTATTAAAAAAAATTATATATATATATATATATATAAATGATCTAGATTATTTTCCTCTTTCTGAAGCTACTTTCTTAAAAAATAAAATGTTTATAGTATTCTTGATGGTACTGACTTTTTCTTTGTGTTTTGGGGGACTCATTTAAATAAAAACATTTTAAGTTAAAGAGAGAACAGACCGCTAAGGAGCTAGTTCAGCAGTTAAAAGCACTGACTGCTCTTCCAGAGGATCCGGGTTCAAGTCTCAGCACCCACATAGCAGCTCACAACTGTCTGTAACTCCAGTTCCAGGGGGCCCGATACCTTCACACTAACATACAGGTAAATCACCAATGCACCTAAATAAAATAATTATAAAACACTAGCCATACAAGCCTGGCAACCCAAGTTCAGAATCCACATAAATACAGATGCATCCGCACACATCTGTAACCCAAGCACTGTTGGCGCTTGCTTGTGTGCACATTCAGTGCCTCACGACACTTTTTAAAAACAGCTTTCACAGTCCCCTGTGAATTGGTCACCAGCCTGGAAAAGGGCAGCACAGCCGCAGGCACTAGAGACCTGCCTCACAGGAAGGCAGCAGCCAACTCAGGTACACCATTAGTTAGCACTGAACTCAGGAGCCCAGACACTTTTTCCTTACAGTGGTGGGGATTGAACCCAGCGTCTTTGCATGTTGAGCACCATCTCTGCCCAAAGACAGACTTAGGGACAAGGAAGTTACTGATTAGTAACAAGTTTATGCTCGTAGGTTCTGAGTTCAAACTGCATCACTGAATATACTTTGTATTCAGAGCTTTCTGCTCTGTTCTGGAGATTGTTTTTAAGCAGGAATGATTTCTGAACTGGTTGCTTTACAGTTTTGAGTATCAAATGAGAATTTATGTCTTGTTGAACTGAGGCCTGAGCAAATTCCAAATTCCAGGTAGATTTAACCAAAGACTTGTGCAACATCACAGAATTAGAGGATAAAAAGAACAGAGTGTTTGCTTTGTCTGAATCTTCAGTTTGGACCCCTGAGGCCAGGGATCAATCAGCTGACAAACCCTTCCATCCACAACTGACTCAGAACCATGGTGCTCCTAACAATTGTTGCTTTCCTCGTACCAGAGATGGTTTATATAAAGCATGTGCTGTAGAAAGGACTAGTGGTTTTAGCAGCATTAAGGATTATTCATATGGGAAGTACTTGCTCTTAGGACAAGTACAATTTTTTTTTTTAAAGACAGGGTTTCTCTGTGACGCTTTGTTGCCTATCATAGAATTAGCTCTTGTAGACCAGGCTGGCCTCGAACTCACAGAGATCCTCCTGCCTCTGCCTCCCAAGTCTGGGATTAAAGGCGTGCACCGCCAGCACCCAGCTAGGACAAGTACTATTTCTATTAGTTAAAAAGGAAGGCTGGGTCATAGTTCAGTCCTTGCCTAACATGCTTGAAGCTCAAGGTTTAGTTCCCAGCACTGCAGAAACAGCCTGGTGGTATATGTCTGTATCCCAGCACTTGGGAGGTGGAAGCAGGAGAGTTCAGAACTCAAGGTCATCCTCTACTACTTTGGGCCAGCATAAACTGATAGGCGTGTACTTGAAATTTGAATATTTGGAGGGGGGTGAAGCAGAAAAGTTCAACATCTGATACACAGGATTCTGAAGTGGATGAGCGTATGCCTTTTTTTTTTTTTAAGTGGGTTTTTTGTTTGTATTGGGTCCACTGGAATTTGAGTCACAGTTGTGAGCTGTCATGTGGATGCTGAGAATTGAACCCAGGTCCTCTGGAAGAGTAGCCAGTACTCTAAACCACTGAGCCATCTCTCCAGCCCCCAGTGTATGCCTTTTTGACTGCATAATCGTTACTTTTTTTTTTTAGCCTTTGTACAAGTTTTAATGTCACGTTGTGACTCAAGTGTAGAAGCAAAAACATATTAACAGTTAGCATATTATTCACAGTTCAGTCCTGAGATTTTTTTGTTGTGATCTCATTTAAAACTTAATGAACAAAAGTTACACAATATAGCTCAATTACAGCAGTCAGCCAGTATAAACTGACCACTCAGCAAAGGAAGTCAAGAAGTTTTGCAACAGGAAACAGCAGAAAGGGCATAGTAATTAGGTTCTAATGCTCTTCTTCCTTCTTCCATACTATTTCTGGTTATCTGAAGACAACTAGGAAGTTCAAACGTGCAACACTAGATCTAGGCCAGGGCTACATTGTGAGCCTCATCTGAACAAAACAAAATAAACCTTTTATGTTGTAGTGAGAGCCAAGTTTTCTAACTACTAAAGACTGAAAGTATAATGACTTGCTCTGCTTCTGTTCCTTGATAGTCATGCCTCTCTGCCATGTGTCTCTGTAATTGATGTCCTTAGGGACAGAATTATGATGTGAAATGCATTCTTTCCTAATCATCTCTCATGTCTTACTAGACAGGAAAATGGTGTGATTCTGGGCAAGGTGCCATAAACCAGTAACTCAAGAGGTGGTGATGAGAGGGTAGGGGGTTCAAGGAAAAAATGGTGGCAGTGCGTGTGTGTGTGTGTTGCTAAAATGTGTAGTTGCCTCTACTGTCTATTCTCTTTACAGAAGACTGTGGCTCCCATCCTCCTTTGCACCTAGTTTTGTACTGTGAGGACTTACCAGAAATGTCCTTCAGAATGCCTGCTTTTCCTGCTGGTTAAGGTTAAAAGTGATAGATCAATTCGAGTCATTTTTTTTTCTCTTTTTGAAACAAAGTCTTACTGTGTAGCCCCCAAAATCACAGTAATCCCAGTGCCTCAGCTACTAGAGTGTTGGAATGAAAAGCATGAACTACTACCACCTCGGGCTGCCAAGTCACTATTTTTGACCTTGAGTTCACAAACAAGAAAGAGCAAGGCAATGCCATAGGAATGGCCCAGCTCCCTCTGGCCTTGGGGCTGCTGTGTCTTCTCTGGACGGGTGGACTGTAGACTTCTTTTTTATTATTTTTTTCTCTGCTCCCCTCCCTGCCTCTTCCCTCCCCCTTTCAATCCTCCCCAAAGGTCCCCATGCTCCCAGTTTACTCAGGAGATCTTGTCTTTTTATACTTTCTATTTCCCATATAGATTAGATCTATGTAAGTCTCTCTTAGAGTCTGCATTGTTGTCTAAGTTCTCTGGGGTTGTGGTTTGTAGGCTGGCTTTCTTTGCTTTATGTTTAAAAACCACCTATGAGTGAGTACATGTGATAATTATCTTTCTGGGTATGGGTTACCTCACTCAAAATAGTGTTTTCTAGTTCCATCCGTTTTCCTGCAAAATTCAAGCTGTCGTTATCTTTTTCTGCTGTGTAGTACTCCATTGTGTAAATGTACCAATTTTTCTTATCCATTCTTTGATCGAGGGGCTTAAGGTTGTTTCCAGGTTCTGGCTATGACAAACAAAGCTGCTATGAACATGGTTGAGCACATGTCCTTGTGGCACGATTGAGCATCCTTTGGATATATACCCAAAAGTGGTATTTCTGGGTCTTGAGGAAGGTTGTTTCCTAATTTTCTAAGAAATCGCCACACCGATATCCAAAGGGGTTGAACCAGCTTGCATTCCCACCAACAATGCAGAAGTGTTCCCTTTTCCCCACAACCTCTCCAGCATAAATTGTCATTGGTGTTTTTGATCCTGTCCATTCTTACAGGTGTAAGATGGGATCTCAGAGTTGTATTGATTTGCATTTCTCTGATGACTAAGGATGTTGAACATTTCCTTAAGTGTCATTCAGCCATTTTAGATTCCTCTCTTGAAAGTTCTCTGTTTAGGTCTGCACTCCATTTGTTAATTGGATTATGTGATCTTTTGGTGTCCAATTTCTTGAGCTCTTTGTATATTTTGGAGATCAGACCTCTGTCTGATGTGGGGTTAGTGAAGATCTTTTCCCATTCTGTGGGCTGTCATTTTGTCTTGTTGACCATGTTCTTTGCTTTACAGAAGCTTTTCAGTTTCAGGAGGTCCCATTCATTGTTTCTCTCAGTGTCTGTGCTGCTGGGGTTATATTTAGGAAGTGGTTCCCTGTGCCAATGTGTTCAACTGTACTTCCCACTTTCTCTTCTATGAGGTTCAGTGTGGCTGGCTTTATATTGAGGTCTTTGATCCATTTGGACTTGAGTTTTGTGCATGGTGATAGATATGGGTCTATTTTTATTTTTCTACATGTTGATATTCAGTTATGCCAGCACCACTTGCTAAATATGCTTTCTTTTTTCCATTTGATATTTTTTGCTTCTTTATCAAAGATCAGGTGTTCGAAGATGTGTGGGTTGATATACAGGTCTTCTATTTGGTTCCATTGGTCCTTCTGTCTGTTCTTATGCCAGTACCAGGCTGTTTTCAGTACTGTAGCTCTGTAGTAGAGTTTGGAGTCAGGGATTGTGATACCTATAATTGTTACTCTTACCCTTAGCCTCTAATCCCTAACCTTAACTGTACATGCCCACAGTGTTAGGCATGGGAAGACTGTATCTGCCTGGCACTACTGCAGGGCCTGTGAAAATGGTGTGCACCACATTTCTGCTCCACAGGACCATCTGGAGTGCTGTAAGACTCAGCACCACTCCAATGAGGAGGGAGAGTTTACCCAGCACAGAACAGCAGAGTCGCTCACCAGTAGGGAAGCTGCTGGCCTACAGGGAGCCTCCAGAACTCAGTGACTGTAGTTGCAGTGGAGTGCGTGGTTCTCACCTTCAGATCCTACTATCTCCAAACTTCCCAACCCCCAGGATGAGCCCTCATGCTTACGCACAGAATTTGAATAATTTAGGGCCCAGCACCCTCGGGTGTCAGTTTCAGTTGCTCTGTTCCCATGGGCACTGCTATGCCAGCCCTGCAATTAAGCTAATAAAACTGTCAGTGGAAGAAGGGCTACTCTCCTGTGCCTCAGACCCCTTAATGCTGATAGAGTGCTTGGCCCTGTTCTGAAAGCAGCAGGCTTGCTTCCTCAGAGGCCAGGTATGGGGGATTGATGCAGGGAGTGGAGGGCGGCGGGGGGGGGGGGGGGGGGGGGGGGGGGGGCTGTAAAAGGAGAAGAAAAGAGAGTGGAAAGAAAGAGTCCAAGGGCAGAGGCCAAGATCATTACAGAGGAAGAAGCAAATTGAGACGGAGGTAATAAAAGGCACTGGGCACACAGACGGGCAGAAGCTGAGGCCAGAGAGGCTGGGAACAGCAGAGGAGAACAAGCAGGTGCCAGGGCCCAGGTCTAGACTTAAGGGCAAGTACAAATAGGAGGCTGGAAGCAAGATCTCAATCTTTGATTTTCAGGTACTGTACACATCGTCCCTGCCAGCTGGACCCGCTGTCCTACATCTGTCCTCAAAACTTGCCCACCCTCACTGTGGTAAGGCCATGGCGACCAAGAGCCACCACCTTGGCCTGGGATTTCTGCTCCTGCTCTTTCTCCCTGCAGGTATGAACCAGCTCTCCTGACACTGCTGCCCTTCCCGTCGACCCCAAACCTCCCCTTCTCCAACTTCCTCTTCAGTGTCTGCTAAGAACAAGCTATCTGGGGAATGCGAGGAAGGGGTGCTGAAAAGAAAGGAGACTTGCCTGATGAGATGGGTGATGGTACTGGGCAGTAGCCATGTAAAAAGCCAGGTGTGGCCACAAACACTTATAACCCCAGTGCTGTAGGGACCTGAGTCAGGAGAACTGCTGAAAAACGGCAAGTTGCAAGCTCAGTGAGAGAGCTGCTGTCTCGAGAGAATAGGGAAGAAGTGGCAACCAGACATCCGGTCCCCTCCTTTGGCTTCTATGCCCAGCTGAGCAACACACACACACACACACACACACACACACACACACACCACCAAAAGCGTGTGAGACCATGGAATCAGGTGATAAGACTCCAGCTAGGGGGTGGATAATGGAAACAGAGGCCCCTAAACTACAAAGGTGAACAATCCTCATTCATCCTCCAGAGTGCCTGGGAGCTGAGGGGAGACTGGCTCACAAGCTGTTTCGTGACCTGTTTGCCAACTATACAAGTGCCCTAAGACCTGTGGCAGACACGGACCAGACTCTAAATGTGACCCTGGAAGTGACATTGTCTCAGATCATCGATATGGTATAATGTGGTGGGGTAAAGCTGTGGGAAGCGGATCAAGGGAAGAAGGGCCATCTCCTAGTTATCCTGTTCCTATGTGTTAATGATAATAGCCATTAATTCCTGTGTACCGTTGGTGGCCCAAGACTTTACACACTGGAATTTATTCAAATCCCCCTCCCCAAGCAGGAATTATCTGAGGGATTAACTGATGAAATGGAGACTTAAGAGCCCACCATAAGCCCACAAGTTGAAGCCTGGAAGGGAATCAGGCTGTTGGAGCAAGCTGGGCTTGTGGGTACTGACAGAATCTGTGACTGTGCATGAAGTAGGCAGTATGTGCATATATGCACGTCCATTGTCTGCCCTGCTAGGATGAGCGGAACCAAGTGCTGACCTTGTACCTATGGATTCGGCAGGAGTGGACAGATGCCTATCTGCACTGGGACCCCAAAGCCTATGGTGACTTGGATGCGATCCGCATTCCCAGCAGCCTAGTGTGGCGACCAGACATCGTTCTCTATAACAAGTATTGCCTCCTGTCTGCCCTGCCCCTCAAGCACTGACCCTCATCCCCCAACACCTAATAGAGTTTCTCAGATGCCTTGGAAACTTGCCCCTAAGGGACCCTCTAAGGAGCTCTTTGCCAGTCCGTGTTACTTTCAGTCATCTCTGCCAACTCAAGCTGGGTGGTCTGTAAGGAATCTACCATGTGATCCAGGCCAGTTGTAGTTCTCAAAGAGAACTGTCTTGGGTCCAAGTGCTTCTCTGTGGCAACTCCACCCTTCCAGGTTCAGGCACCACTGAAGACCTCACCACGGCCTCATCCTAGGGTTACTCCTTTATTTCATCTTTAGATGCTTTGTATTTCCCAGTCAATACATTGTACATTTTTCTGGGCCCCTCTTATGAGTTTTACAGATGACTCCCTAGGCCAGTGTGAGGTTCAGGTCCACCTCTGGGTTTTGCAGAGACGTTTTATACTCTGCTTCCGGCCTTTCTAGACCTTCAAAGATTGAAGCGAATTAATTTAATGAGCCTAATGAGGCTCACTCCACCATGCTGCCCTGACCACTAAAGCCCAACTAGCGACACTAGATCCACCCTGTTCATGGGCCACGGTGACTCCTGTCTTGCCTCTCCACAGGGCAGACACGCAGCCACCAGCTTCGGCCAGCACCAACGTGGTTGTGCGGCATAATGGCGCCGTGCGCTGGGACGCACCGGCCATCACACGCAGCTCGTGCCGTGTGGACGTGTCTGCCTTCCCGTTCGACGCGCAGAGCTGCGGCCTGACCTTTGGCTCATGGACTCACGGCGGTCACCAGCTGGACGTGCGACCCCGGGGCGCATCTGCCAGCCTGGCCGACTTTGTGGAGAACGTTGAGTGGCACGTGCTGGGCATGCCGGCGCGCAGGCGCGTGCTCACCTATGGCTGCTGCTCCGAGCCCTACCCAGATGTGACCTTCACTCTGCTGCTGCGCCGCCGAGCTGCCGCCTACGTGTGCAACCTGCTGCTGCCCTGTGTGTTCATCTCCCTGCTGGCGCCACTGGCCTTCCACCTGCCCGCTGACTCGGGGGAAAAGGTGTCTCTGGGCGTCACCGTGCTCCTGGCGCTCACAGTCTTCCAGCTGATCCTGGCCGAGAGCATGCCTCCCGCGGAGAGCGTTCCACTCATCGGTGAGCCTGAGAGCGTCCAGGAATGGACACTGGGTCAGCAGAGTGACAGCTGCAGGGAGTGAGAGAGGGAGCAAGAGTAGACCTTGCCGCTAGGGGCGCGAGGGAGCCTTGCCGGCAGAAGAACTGGTCCCCAGTGTCATAGTAAACTGTGGTGAGTGATAGCTGTGTGCCTGGCATTCTCCTGTGCACGTGACACTTGTTCACTCGCAGGAGGAGCATCACTATGAACCCATGAGTAACCAATAGGTTATTCCAGGTGTACAGAAAGGATTGGTGTACAGAAAGGGTAAGTGTCTGTTTGGTTTACAACCATAATCTGACCCTGCAACAGGGAAAATAGTTAGGTAGCAGATAGCTTCAGAGCCCTAGTAGATACGAGACATGGGGAGAACTTAATTCTTATCTACATCTTTCCCCTCTTTGGGTTTGAAGGCCTGATGCTGGCCTTCTTTCTCAACTGTGTTCACCTCCTCTTTGTGGCTCACAACGTTCTCTGCCCCACAGGGAAGTACTACATGGCCACCATGACCATGGTCACGTTCTCCACAGCCCTCACCATCCTCATCATGAATCTGCATTACTGTGGTCCTAGTGCACATCCAGTGCCTGCCTGGGCTCGGGTCCTCCTGCTGGGACACCTGGCCAGAGGCCTGTGTGTGCGGGAGCGAGGGGAGCCTTGTGGGCAGTCCAAGTCACTGCAATCAGCCCCCAGCCTCCAGCCTCCAGAAGGTCTCCCAACAGGCCCTTGTCATGAGCCATGGTGTCTGTGCCATCAGGAAGTCCTTCTGCATCATGTGGCTTCCATTGCCGGCACCTTCCGCAGCCACCGGGCTGCCCAGCGCTGCCGTGAAGACTGGAAGCGCCTGGCTCGGGTGATGGACCGCTTTTTCCTAGGCGTCTTCTTCTGCATGGCTCTGGTCATGAGCCTCCTGGTTCTGGTCCAAGCCCTGTGAGGGCGCTTTGGTCACCTCAACACCACCAGATAGGAATGACAAACCCCGGGTGGTTGTTGGTACTCAGACTGCTGCTCAAAGTCAGGACCAGCACTTCTGACCTCACAACCCACAGATAGCCTTGGTGATCTGCGTGCCCTCACTGAGGGGATCCAAAGCCTCTGTCTCCCTTCCCTCCAATATGATTCAGGTCAAAGTACAGACTTGGAAATAAGATTCGATGTCAGCTGAGCAAGATGGTGTACCCCTGTAATCCCAGCACATAGAGGCTGAGACAGGAGGGTTTCCATCAATTCAAGGGCAGCCTGAGCTTCAGAAAACTTTGTCTAAGAAATAAATCACCACCCATGTCTACACTTGGAATTATAGCTGTTAGCGGGGCAAATTCAGGTTATTTTTATTTTGTTGAGACCACTATGTACCTCCTGCTGGCCTGGCTTGTTACGTAGCTCAGGCTGGCGTTGGATTCACACAGACCCACCTAAGGCACTTGCTGGCCGCTGCCACCACTCCCGGCCAGAGTGTAGGTTACTAGCTAAGGGACAAAGGCACACATTCGCGTGTCATCCTTAGCAGCTGCAGACGCTCATCTTGCTCATCTCTGCTAAGGCTCTTGGGGGATAGAAATTCATGGTCTAGTGTCCAGAACAGAAGGCGATGTAAACTTTTATTCCAGAGCTTCAATCCATAATAAATGAGAGTGTGCCCAGCACCTCCTCCGTGTCTTGTCTTCTCCTTGGGGCCACTTCCAGAAGTTGGGGATCCAGGTTTGTCTTTATAGATAGGAATCTTAGGACACACAGATCAATGCAAAAATTATATCTTTTTAAAAATCCTATTTATTTGTGTGGGTATGTGTGTGTGTGCTCTTGCACCAGGGTACATTTGTGGAGGTCAGAGAACAATGTGGGTAGTTGGTTCTCTCCCTCTGCCATATGGGACCCAGGGTTCAAACTCAAGTTGTCAGGTTTAGTGACAAGCACCCTTACTTGCTGAACCATCTTGCTAACCCAGAAATTACTTTTCTGGTAACAACAGTAGAAAAAAAAAAAAAGATTAGGATTTCACAGGACATTTTCCCTGTGTCCCTCCTTATAGTTAGACACAGACACCTGTTCTCACACAGTGACATTTAGAGAGCTCATCAGTAGCCCGGGTAGTATTGCAGGTGTCACCATTCACAGGGTTGGTTGCTTTCTTACTGTCACACAGCTTCTGCCACTTTCTTTGTGTCTTCTTTCCAGACCTTACCCATAGGAAACTCACGGCCTAAGGCCGGGTGGTGGTGAGGCAGGCAGATCTCTGTGAGTTTGAGGCCAGCCTGGTCTAAAAGAGCTAGTTCCAGGACAAGCTCCAAAGCTACAGAGGAACCCTGTCTCAAAAAAAAAAAAAAAAAGAAGCTCACAACCTGACCTGAGAATACTCAGGGGCCAACAGAAATAGAACAGAAAGGTAGTTACTAAGAACTTTCCAGGAGACATGAGGGACATTTAAGTGACTCCTGCATGTCCCATGGCCAAGTATTCTCTCCCATCATCACCAACAATGAGTTGATGTCTTTAGGTTCCAAATGACTCTCTGCCTATCCTATCCTAGAGTCTTCTGACCTCAGTCAATCCTGCTCCTACAGCCTGCGCAAGGTTCAGTCTCCAAATCCTCTGCTGTGTCTCCACTGCCAATTCATCTGGAAGGTCATTGCCGTAGAAGGCCCAGACTTCCCTGCAGAGAGACTGATTCTCCATGATCCTGATATGCTTAAAGCGCACAGGCAAGTCAGGTCGACATCTGGTAGGTCACAGGAGACCTGGATTCTCTGGACGGTCCCTCAGCACAAGGAACAAGAGCAGCAGCAGGATAGAAGAGGAGGCAGAGATGGAGCCTGGAGCTAAGGGAGGAGAACAGAGGTTAGGAGCAGTGTGAGGGCTGATAGGAGGCAGAGAGTCTGGCAGAGCGAGCGGGAAAGCAGCCAGAGGCAGGGACGAGAGACCGGCTCTAGGCCGTCCACCCACTGTCACAGAGGACACCACTACACTGCACTGTGGATGAGCCTCGAGACAGATCTGAGAGAGACCTAGTGATGCTGCAGAAGGTTCACGTTAGAGCCTCTCCGGGTTCAGAAGGATTGCTATAGCTGGCGAAAACTAGGTAAAGCTATCTGAGGGTAAATAAATGAGCTCACCCAAGTCTTTTTATCATGTCTCCCTCTTCCCGGGCTCTCTTCAATGCTCTCCTGATGCTTCTCACTGTTGTTCGCTGGTCTGCCCATCCCACATGGTTTCCAGTTTATTATATACAGACAGTTAACAAGCATGCATTCCACAGCATCACAAAAACCAGGTGGACCTGGCAAGATGTCTTGGGTCTCAGAGGGGGCGTGGCTGCAAAGCTCTCCAGCTGATGCTGGGAGGATTAATCAAGAATCAATACAAAGCCAGATGGCGGTGACACACACCTTTAATCCCAGCACTCGGGAGGCAGAGGCAGGTGGATCCCTGTGAGTTTTAGACCAGCCCGGTCTACAAGAGCTAGTTAGTTCTAGGACAGGGTCCAAAAAAAACAAAAACAAAAACAAAAACAAAAAAAAATCAATACAAAATCTTAAGAAGAAGTTTTCATGCACTGACTATATTTCTTTTATCTGTTTTTGTTTTTTGAAACGGGGTTTCTCTGTAGCTTTAGAGCCTGGAGCTTGCTCTGTAGGCCTGGCTGACCTCGAACTCACAGAGATCCACCTGCCTCTGCCTCCCGAGTGCTGGGATTAAAGGTGTGCGCCACCACAGCCCAGCCCCAACTATATTTCTTAAATGTAAATAGTTAAGCTAGAAGTTTGTGGCCAATAATTGTAGAAAATGTAACAGTGCTGTTGCACCTTCGGAACACTTTGGCTTCCTTCCCTGGTGTCTGGGAACACAGCGCTGTAACCATAGTAACCTGTGGGCCTGGGAGAAAAGCAAAGAGTGCTTAATTTGCTTCAGATCTAGCTAGCTGAATTAAAGAGAATTTCTTTGGAAATTTGGCTTCCAGCTCCAGCAGAGAGCTTGCCACCACCCAGGTGAGAATTAACTTCTCTCTCTAAGGCCGGTCCAGCGACTCAAGCCTTTTTTCTGTATCTCTAGGGTTAGAGTAATAAACAATTAATTTCCTGGGCTATGATCTTATGTTAATTGAAACCAAGGTGAAGGGTAGATACAGAATATTAATAACTTGTTAGGTTAGAACAAAAGGCCGGTAGATTACACCTTCCTGAGTCTGCTGCTAGAGAAGTCAGGGCCACCCAGACCTGTTTCTCACTAAGGGCAGACCTGCTGTCTCTCTGCTCAGGGCCTCTGCTCAGGGCTCCTTTCTTGTCAATGAGTTCTGTCAATAAGGATAACTGTGGGGTCTAGCTTTATGTGGACTTTACTATTTGAACAAAGGTTTGAGAGAGTGAATGCTCTCACTCCAGGGCCCCATGGTGTCAGAGAAGGAATACAGTTGCCAGTACACGAAAAGTCAGGTTTAAAGAGCACTGCCTGCTCTTCCAAAGGTCCTAAGTTCAATTCCCAGAAACCACATGGTGGCTCACAACCATCTGTAGTGAGATCTGGTTTCCTCTTCTGGCCTGCAGGCATACATGCAGACAGAATACTGAGAATACTTTATACATAATAAATAAATTTAAAACAAAAACAAAAAAATAAAAATAGTGATTTATACTGTGGGGGGCCGCAACCACACTCTCCACCATAAGATGGCGCTGCACCGCCAGGTGAGCAAGAAAGCGCACACGTGTTGGTAACTTTCCACTACTGCGTCCCCGCCTACTCCCGAGGCATCGTCTGGGATAATGGACAGTTGACCAATCCAAGAGTGACACGTCCAAAGCAGGGTCTGTTTCATATATAAGGGATGGCTTCCTTCATATCTCGGTCCCTGGCCATGTTGGCTGATGCTCGCTCTCCCAAGGGGCATTAAAGCTATTTCTGCAGAAGAATCCTGTGTCCCGCCTGGTTCTTGCAGGCGAGACTGAGTGCGGAACATTATACACTGCTGGAATATTCTGGGGTGAATCCCATTATAGAAGGGAGAAATATTACGATTTCACAAGATTTCTATAGGCGTTTCCAAAGCTTTGTGGGTCGGGTTCTCCGTATGGAATGTATACTCCCGTGGATTAGCCCAGTAGATCTGTCAGCTGTACATTTACTATATAGCACTTGTGGCTCTCAACAATGTTGAATCTGGCTCCCCCATCCACGCCCTCATCAGAGTAGCAATGGGTAGAAATGTGAGAAATGTGAAGGCAAAATGTCTAAACTTCCCCAGTGTCTCGGATGATGACCATCTGAATGCAGAGGCCCACTAAAGACACAGTGGTCTGCTTGGCCGGCATTCTAGCACTCAGGAAGCTAACGTAAGAGCTAAGGACCAGGCTGGAGAGATGGCTCAGAGGTTAAGGCATTGCCTGCTCTTCCAAAGGTCCTGAGTTCAATTCCCAGCAACCACATGGTGGCTCACAACCATCTGTAATGGGGTCTGGTGCCCTCTTCTAGCCTGCAGGCATACAGACAGAATATTGTATACATAATAAATACATAAATATTTTTTTAAAAAAGAGCTAAGGACTTAGGAGGCTGAGCCCATTTGAGACCAGCCCGAACTGCTGTTCTAGGACAACCTGGGCTACAAAGCAAATTCCCCTGTCTCAAAAACTAAACAAGGTCTGGTTTGAAGTTGGAGACCCAGCTTCTGGTCATTCCATCACCTCAGCCAAGTGTCTCCGGCCTCACTTTATGATATGAGGGTAGACAGCTATGTGGCAGAGGGTAGAGATCGTCATGGGGAGCAACTCACAGTTCGGTAGCCAGGCTATAGACATGATTCCTCACTAGCTGTGTGGCGAAGGACTGGTTGCTACTTTTTGCCCTCTGTAAAAGTGACTAGTGCTGGACAAGGTGGCGGATGCCTTTAATCCCAGCACCAAGGAGGCAGACACAGGTGGATCTCTGAGAGTTCCAGTCCAGCCTGGTCTACAGAGTCAGTTCCAGACAAGTCAGGGCAGCACAGAGAAACCCACTCTGGAAAATAACTAATGGTAAAGTGCACCAGTGCCACGGAACTGAGCTGAGGATGCATGGCTTCGAGAGCCTGGCACTCCTGGCACTGTCACATCAGGGCAAGTGGCAGGAAGAGACCCTAAAGGGAGGGAGTGTTGGGGATGGAGTAGGAAGGAGGCTGTGAGCTGGAGGAGGTGGGGGGCAGTTAATTCTTCTTTGGAAGTGCCCTATTCCCACCTAGAAAAGCGGAGGTCCAAGTACACCCTTGCCCAGCAAGAGAAGACGCACAGCTGAAAGAGATGCAGGTGTCTTTTGATCCTTCTTACTTATCACAAACTAGGAAACTGAGGCACAGGGAAAGAATAGCTAAGTCAGAGCCCAAACTAGAGTACAGTCACACAGCTTTCAAAAGTTGGCTTTGACCTTGGAAAGCGGGTCTGAAGGAGCCCTGAGGGCAGTAACAGGGAGAACACAGCAAGGAACCAGCCCTCCCCTGAGAGCGCAGGTGCACACAGACACACCCACCGTGAGGGCCAGTGACTCCCTTCTTAGGTAACAAGGTGGGTTTGTAGAGGAAAGTCTAGTGAGGGTCCAGCCCTGGATCAGCCTGCTCAAACAACTTCATCTCTTACCTGAGCTATTCAACCTGCAGGGCCCAGATCTGCACTTCTTTTCT